ATGCACCTCAGGATACCCTACAATCATATGACCAGGTACTGGAACCCTTATTCTGAGATAAAATGCAACAGACAGTTGTTAATGAAACCTTAATTGAACTGTCAAAGTACCATCTTTACCAACAAGCTAATGGGGTAATTCACTACTTTTACACAACTGTCCAACGCTGATAAGTTATTCCACTAGTTAAATTCAGCAGAAAGATAAATCAAGCCAGGTAGACTAAATTTTCAGTAATAAATCGGAATGGTAAAATGCTGTACCACTTCTACAACATCTCTCCTTGTCCACAGGGAGGAATAATATCCCTCAAAATTACTTGCTGCTTTTTTAGAAAATTAATTAATTTGAGAGACAGTGTCAGAAGGAGAAACCAAGAGAGATCTTCCAGCTGCTGGTTTACTCGAAATGGCAACAGTAACAGGGCTGGGCCAGGCCAAAGCCAGATCCAGGAACTCGACCCAAACACTTGGGCCATCATCACCTGCTTTCCTAGGAGCATTAGCCGGGAGATGGATCAGAAGCAGAGAAGCCAGGACTCCAACCGACACTCTAAGAATGGGATGCCAGTGCCACAAGTGCTATCTTAACCCACCACACCAAAACGCAAGCCCCTACATACTATTGTTTTTTTTAGCAATCAGTACTACTAGGTGAATGTTCTTGACATAGGCTATACAGGAACACTACTTGCAAAACACATTTAATGAATACATCTTAGAACCCCCACTGAGTGGAATGATGCATAATTGGGAGAATATTTTTATGAGCCATTTTAATCATTTTTAGGAAATACATAATTGTTTTAGATAAATAAAATGGTTGAAAACTTGAAAATCTCACTAATACTTTTGCTTTGGGTTTCAGAATACTAGCGCAATTCACTCTGATTTGATTTTCAAATCTCTAGCTTCAGGCCATACAGCAGTTATAGTCCAAATATAATAAGCAATTCCGACAGCAAGTCATCAATATGTAAATATAAAAATAGAAAAGTATTTGCATACCAAAACACACACCTGGTTCTCCTTTTTTATACCAAATTGTATTTCACCTGTTAACAGCTGATAAATACACTCAAAGCACGAACTAGAAAAACTTGGTTAAAAAACAGAATACCCAACCATGTGAGGACACAGTGAGAGGGCAGCCAAGAGAGGCCTTGGAAGAAAACAAACCTGCTGACATCTTGATCTTAGATTTCTAGCCTCCGCAACTGTGACAAAAAATTTTTGTTGTTTTAAGCCAACACAGAGGACTTGGCCAGGAAATCAATTAACCAAGCAGTAAAGATGCCACAGCAGTTAGGTGGATAGTCCTTACCCTCAAGGAGGCTTACAAACTTACAGAGACCCAGCAAACAAGGACCTGGTGTACAACAGATAGTGGTGCACGGAGAAGTACTTCAAACCAACCCCCTAGGTGATACCAACCCCACAGGTGACAGAAGGGGTCAATCAATATAATCTACAATGGATTCAAATCAAACCAACCCCACAGGTGACAGAAGGGGTCAATCAATATAATCTACAATGGATTCAAATCAAACACACTTGGATTTTCAGGCATGGGTGATTCATGGTACCCAATACCACAATGGCTGCTGTGTGAGATGTTTTAGTACTACAGTTCTTCACCACTACCCATTTTAAAAAAATTAAAAAATTAAAAATTTTAAAGAAAGTTTTCTTTACCATCAATCTAAAGTTAAAATTTCAACAAGTCACATCACCTTTTGATACAAATATAAGTAAATACATTTCTTCATATTCAAGGATGGTACAATTCGTTTCTTTCAGTATCCCTACATCTTAGTATTATACGCAAGCACTAAAATGAAAGAGCATATTCAGATCTAAAAATCCAAATTCTCAAAGCCAGTAAATCGGTGACAAAATCTAAAGCAAGGAACAACCTGTTTTCCTGTCCCCTGTTCACCCTTCATAGCTTGGAAATCCTCAAGGGTTTGGCAAGGAACAGAAGTGCACAACCAAATTCCTTAAGATAGGTTGCAGACGGAGGAGAGAAAGGCAAGAACATGTAGGTCCCAGAGTAGAGTGACTGAGGAGGCACCACTGTCAGTCACTCTTTTACCCACCAGGAATCTCCACACAGCTTGGACAAGGGAGAATACAGTACCAACCTCTTTGCAAACAGGCTGCAAAAATGACTCTACAAACTAGTTCAAAAAAAAAGAGGGAGGGGAGGTCGGGTCAGGTCACTGAGTCTCTTAGATTATAAAATCTCAAATATAAATATTAAAACGGCCAATTACAATGCAAAAGGATAGTGTTATCAATTTTAACCTCAAAAACAAGGACAAAAGGAGTTATTTACCAGGGTAGTTCCAAAAGAGTTCACTTTCCTGTGTGATGAGGGCTTTTAGAGACATTGTTAAGAATCTATTTCTGAATGCACTGAAAATATCAATGTATCCACAATGGAATGCTTAATCCTTGGGGGGAAAACTCAGTTCATTCCAGTTCTGACAGGAAAATATTTCACTACAAACTACTAATCTTCCTAAGAAGGTCAAGTAAACCAAAATGTTGCACTTAAGAAGCCCTTAAGACTTTTCAAAATATCCTAGCACTAGCCAAAGTAAAGCAGCTTCGTTTCTTTTAAAAAGTATACTCCCCATCACATCAACTGACCAAGGGATAACAGCAGCTGAAGACGCAATGACACTAAAACATTACAGCGAATGTGGGCCACTGCACAGCTACAGTCTACTAACCTCATTTGTGGGACTCATGTGTGATACTATATTTAATACATTCTTATCAAAAGGCTAAAGCTACATACTTCCTAACTGTAGCTTTAAGGTTTAAAATAAATCACCCAAGCAATTATCTTAACTGGCTCAACTATGAACCTTCCCTTCAAGGATCAAGATCAAAAAAAAAAAAAAAAAAAAAAAAAAGACAAGACATACACAGGATAGGAAAGTAGATATGCGAAGTATATCCTAATGACAAGACCATTATTTAAGAAAAACAAAACAAAACCAAGTTTGGGTCAGTCACTGACATTCGTTGCAGCGGGGCAACGAACCCAACTAAAACACGCGAGCTTCGTGAACAGGTGTTCTATCCTGACATTCGGCGGCCTGCTGAGGGGCTCAACAGCAAAGTTTATTCTGTAGGCAGCAAACTTTCATGTGTTACTCATGAGACAGTGCTCCACCAAAATTTGCCAAGACCGAAAAGCATAGGCCTAGAAGGCCAGAACAGTAGGCCTCTACCACGCAAGTGAGGGTGGCTTCCTACAGGAGAGCTGAAATTCTTGCTTCGCTTTTGGCCCACATGGAGAAAACCATGAGCAATGACTCGCCCAATCACAACCTTGAGGAGAAACCACGGGAAGCTGTGTTGTTCTTCTGATACTCACCAGACAACGCCAAAGGCTCCATATCCAATGGGTCTATCCGGCTCAATGTCCAGCTGCTGTTGCGGGTGATGCGAGTGCTGATGATGGTGCGCCTTCACGGTGGCAGCTGCAGCAGCCTGTACCTGAGCTGGGGCTGCTGCGGCCGGTCCAGGAGCCTGTCCCGGTGCCGGTGATGGGAAATATGGCTGTTGTTGCCCAGGGTTTAACATGGCTGCGGCTGCGGCCGCTGCTGCGGCTGCCGCAGCTGCCGAAGAGGTATGCTGCTGCACAGGGTGGACAGCAGCGGCCGACCCCGGATGAAGATGGTGCTGAGGGTGGTGGTGGTGGTGAAGGTGAGGAGGAGGAAGGTGTGGAAGGTGGTGGTGATGGTGGTGGTGGTGACCTGCTGCTGCTGCAGATGTACCGCCATTGTAAGCCGCCATCATTTTTGCGTTGGCTCTTGCGCCACAAAGAGACATTCAAAAAAAAATGCCCTTTGATTGGAAAGCAAACTGGGTCAAGCTGTCATTTGGCCATTTAAAAATGAAGAAAAACCACTCACTCCACCTCAGAAAACATAGAGCGGAACTGGCTTTATGTCTTCATCAGTCAATCCAAACAAGTTAGAAGATCTTGGTGTTTCGTTTTTAGGGTGAGTGTGAGTGGAAGGGTGTGGGTTGCCCCCCAGGAAAAGAAAAAAAAAGGAAAGAAAAAAAAAGAAAAAGGAAAAAAGGACCCCTTCCCCCCAGGATTCCTGCCACAAGTGGGTACTAAAACTCCATTCTTAAATGGGGGGAGGTTCCAACTTTGAATGTGGGAATAAAGGCCAAGCCTCCCGACCTCCTGAACTCCACACACGAAAAGGATCAGGTAACACAGCACCCTTGGAATCTCCTAAGAGGGTTGACTCATCTACCCCTTCCATTCCCACATCCTTTTCTAAACACCTACCACCTCCTCAAAAACACAACTGGTAAAAACTCCAACCACCCTAAACGAGACAGATGGGGGGAAATACTCAGGGAAGGCGGCTTCCCCCCACCTCGAACTCTCGGGCCTTCCTACATCTCCCCCTACTCCTGGCCGGCTGGCCCCGGTGGGGGCGGGGGCACCAAACTTTGCTCGGCAGAAAGAGCCGAGGGAGGAGGCTGGAGGGACCGAGTGAGGCGAGGAGGCGACAGGCAGGACGGAGAGGAGAAAGAGAACCGGGGCAAAAGTGGAGGTAAGGAGGTGCAGGGCGGGATGAAAGAGCAGTGGGCAGCACTCGGACGCCTCGACAGAGGGAACCGCCCCGGGAGGAGGTGAGGGTCCCGGGGCCGAAGAATAGGAGCCCCGGGAGGCGGGCGGGGTACGGTCGGAAGCGGGCTGACTCCTGCCCCCGCCGCCGGCTGCTTCAGCTGAGGAGGGTTGGGGGGGAGAGCGGGTGGGTCCCCCCGCGCGACGGCCCCCGCAGGGCTCAAGGCTGCTCCGTCTCCCCCCCTCCCCCCCACCCGGCTTCCGTCCCTGCGGCCGCTTTCTCCTCAGCCGCCGCGGCCGCTTTCCCCTCAGCCGCCGCCTCCTCAGCCGCCGGTGCCGCCGCGGCCGGACTCACCTCCCCTAGCAAAGCCGGATAGAGCGGAGCCAGCGGCGGACACGCGCAACCAGCCGCCGAGGCCCCGCCCCCGCCTCGCACTGACCGGCTGCCCTAGCCAATCCACGCCCACCTGTCCTCGTTCGCCTCCAATCCTGGCCCGGGAGCTTCAGACAGGCGCACCGTTCGACCAGTGGCAACAAGGTGAGGGTCTCCTGGGGAAATCCCGCCTCCGATCCGGGATGGGCAGACAAAAAAGCCAATCAAAAGGCAGAGTCTGCCCTGACCGACAAGACTGGAAACCAATTAAAAACCAAAGATCTCCGTGACATTTTCTTTCGCCTCTCTCTTTTCTTTTTCTTCTTTTATTTTTTTGGCAAGAGCAGGAAGCTGCGTGCTAATCCCGCCTGCAAAAGCTGGAAGAGAGGGGCGGCAAGAAAGAACCAATCATGAGCCGGAGACAAAGAACCAAACAACCAATCCTTGGGTTGAAAATGAAGTGGGCTGGAACTGGAATCAGATAGACGCTTCACTTGACAAATGGAAAAAAAGATTGATTCAGGTCCCGCCCTACAGATCTCCTATAGGGCAGAATTATGGAGAATTCTCTGTCATATCAGAAACGACCTCTTCAAGGGGCGGGGCCAAGTGAAAGGGGTGTGGTCTAAAAGGGGGCGGTACCGAGAAGAGAAGGCGGTGCCCAAATTGTATCTCGTCCATTGATAGGAACCATCTATTACCCCTTGAAAGGCGTAAGGTGTGAAAATTCAAGAGGAGCAAAAAGAAATGTTGAGCTTCAAAAACTCCAGGTCCAACGTTACTCAAGAAAACAGTCACAGAAGAAACTCTAAATGGACTGATAGTTCATAGCCCATGGCTGGTCTTCCATGGTTAATCCTGATCTTGGCGAAAAGGATTTATCTCCAGTATTCAGAGCTCCCTCTCAACAATAGATACAGGCGTTGATACAAATTAAAACAAAAAAAGTAAACTTAACCACAGAAATAGTAATTTTCTTCCCTATTTTTTGTCTTTCTGTTTCTCCCACATTTTCTGATCAAGTTTGGGTCATGGCATTTTACTGAAATAATGTGTTTCACATTACTTCACATCTCTGAATTTACTTTTTTGAAATCGTCACATAGTAATCTTACAGAAACTTGCTTAATAAAACTGTATTCTCAAAAACCCGTTCACTCCTCCCTTTACCAACCAAACACCTCCCCACCCCTACTTGTCCCCAGCCACCACAGCATTACCCAGATTTGCACCAGTGGCATCTTTAACACATCTCCCTTCCTACAAGCTAGGTCCCCTTTAATCTAGCCTCCTCTAAGGGTTTAGTAATATTAAAAAGAGAGCAGTCCTCTCTTATCTGCCATTTTACTTTTCCTGGTTTCAGTTACCTACAGTCAACTGCTGTCTGAAAATATTAAATGGAAAGTTCCAGAAATGAACAATTCATAAATTTTAAAGTACACATCGTTCTGCACAGCAGGTTGAAATCTCACACCAACCTGCTCCACCAGCCCAGGGAGATGAATCATCCTTTGTCCAGCATGTCCACCGTGTATATGCTACCACCCGATAGTCACTTAGTAGCTTTCTCCATGATCAGACTCTAGAGGCATCCATATGGCAATGTGTGGGTCCATGTAACCTCTACAAAGTCATCTATCACTGTCACAATGCCTCACCTGTCATTCACCTCATTTCACCTTATGGTGTGGGCATTGTATCATCTTGCCACATAGACATTGTATTATCTGCCATCATTACCAAAAGAAGGCTATGTACAGTATACAAAGATATTTTGAGAGAGACCACATTCACATAACTTATTGTATATTGTTATAAATATTTTATTCTGTTATTGTTAATTTCTTACTGTGCCTAATTTATGAATTGAACTTTTTTAAAATTTGAGAGGTAGAGAAAGGGAGAAACAGAATCTTTCATCCGCTGGTTCACTCCCCAAATGGCTGCAACAGCTGGAGATAGGCCAATCCAAAGCCAGGATCCAGGAGCTTTCTCTGGGTCTCTCATGCGGGTGCAGGGGCCCAAGGACTTGGGCCATCTTCTACTGTTTTCCCAGGCCATAGCAGAGAGCTGGATCAGAAGAAGAGCAGGTGGGACATGAACTTCTGCCCATATGCAATGGCCAAGTCACAGGCAGAGGTTTTAGCCACCATGCCATAGTGCTGGTCCTATAAATTGAACTTTATCATGGATATATGTATATATAGGAAAAAACAGTATTAATAGGGTTAGGTTTTATGCAAAGTTTCAGGCATCCACTAAGGTGTGGGGAAAGTCTTAGAACATACCCCCTGCAGATAGAGGGAACCGGAGCACAAATCTGACCCTGTCCCTACCCTTGAATGAAGCAAAAAAGTCTGAGTAGCTTGACATGGCCTGGTTCCTGCCTGACTCACGTACTTTATCCCTTACTTTTAACCTCTATACAGCAGATGTTCTTTTTTGTTTTCCCCAGAAACATTTTATTTAAGGTATGCAAACTTCATGCATTTCATAAATACAACTTTAGGAATATGGTGATTCTTCCCACCCTACCTGCATTCCCACCCTTCTTCTTACTCTCTCCTGTTTCCGTTCTTATTTTTTACTAAGATCTATTTTCAGTTAACTTTACACACATAAGATTAACTTTATACTAAGAGTTCAAAAAATAGTATAAAAAAAACTTGTTTCTCAACAGTCAAGACAAGGGTGGTTCAAAGTCATCGCATCTCAAAGTGTCCATTTCACTTCTATAGATTACCTGTTTAGATACTCTATGAGTTATCACAGGTCAGGGAGAAGATACTGTATTTGTCCTTTTGGAACTGGCTTATTTCACTAAGTATAATGTTTTCCATTTTTATTCATTTTGTTGTAAATGACAGGATTTCATTTTTTTACTGCTGTGTAGTACTCCATAGTGTACATATCCCATAATATTTTTTTATCCAGTCTTCAGCTGATGGACATTTGGGTTGACTACACATCTTAGCTCTTGTGAATTGAGCTGCAATAAACATAGGGGTACAGGTAATTCTTTCATATGCTGATTTGATTTCCTTTGGATAAACTCCCAGGAGTGGGATGGCTGGGGCATATGGAAGGTCTATATTCAGATTTCCTAGGTGTCTCCATACTGTCTTCCACAGTGGTTATATCAGTTTACGTTCCCACCAACAGTGGACCAGGGTATCTTTTCCCCCACATCCTTGCCAGCATTTGTTGTTCGTTGATTTCTGTACGAAAGCCATTCTAACCAGAGTGAGGTGAAACCTCATTGTGGTTTTGATTTGCATTTCCCTGATGGCTAGGGATCCTGAGCATGTTTTCATGTGTCTGTTTGGATTTCCTCTTTTGAAAAATGCCTGTTTAAGTCCTTTGCTCATTTCTTAACTGGATTGTTTGTTTTGTTGTTGTTGAGTTTCTACCTCAGACGTTCTGAACTTAGAGTTTCTCAAATGCATTGTTACCTCTGTGCCTTTGTTCATATCCTCAGCTGCAAACATTTCCCACACGTCCTCCATTCCTCTATTTCATGCCTTAGGTCTTTGTGTGAACCTCACTATTTTTCTGGAAAGCTTTCACTCACCATGTTCTAGAGTCTCTGTCTCCCTCATGGCACTGGGAACTCTATTTTAATAGCTTGTTGAATTGGAACAGGAATGAGCGCTTGTCCATCAATCAGTGTGGTATGCCTGCTTCCTAGGACAGCGCCTGAAATAGGGGAAGACAGTTTTATGAGTTACTGAGTATGGGAGAAGTGAATACAAATCCAAGGTCTGCCATTTCAAAGTCATAGCTCTACAGGCAATATAACTAACCCTCAATCTCAGTAGCCTCAACTGAAATAATATGTGCGTCATCAAGCTGACATGAGGATCAATTAAGGTGATTTATATTAAAAGGGCTAGCAAATAGTAAGAGTTCTACATAGATTGTCTCTTCCACCCTTTCCATCACTTACTATTTGGGATGCCTTTCTGATTTCCCAGTGCACAACAGTCCCCTCTGGACTGTAGTTCCCTTGGACATACATAGCCTCTTTTCCAGCCCAGACCTACTGAATCAGAATGTAGGGTGGGCAGGAATCTAACAAGCCCTCCAGATGATTCCTACACTCACTGAAGTTTGAGAAACACCAGCCTACAGGAGAGGGGCTTGAGAAACACCAGCCTACAGGAGAGGGGCTTGCTCTTCCGAAACTCTGTTCACTTCATAGCACCTAGCCTACTACTTAGTGCAGAGAGAGTGCCTGTGGGGCAGGTGTTCGGCGCAGGGGTTAAGATGTCCTTCAGGACACCTGCATCCCCTATCAGTGCCTGGGTTTGAGTCCCGGTTCACTTTAGATTTCAGCTTCTTGTTATCACACATGCTAGGAGGCAGCAGATGATAGTTCAAGTACCTGAGTCCCTGTCACCCACGTGGTACATCTAGGTTGAGTTCTGGGCTCCTGACTTCAGCCTGACCCAGTCCCAGCTGGTGAGGGCATTTGGAGAGTGATTCTAGTTGATGAGAGATCTCTCTCATCTCTGTTTCTCTGCCCTTCAAATAAAAAAAGAAAATACATGTTTTAAAAATGTGCTCAATGCATGTGAAATCAATCTAATCCACCAGGAAACATTTACACATTAAAAGTTCTTGACTCCTTCCACAAACATTTATTGAGCACCAGTTACATGTAGACATGGGGCCAGCTTCCTCTATTGGAAAAGAGACCTACATGTTTTAGGATCTCTGCCTTCCAGGAGCTCTAAGCCTATCTGGAGCAGAAACCTCCAAAATGGTGTGTGAGGGCCCTGGAAGTACACAAAGTAAGCCAGCGGGCTCCTGCAAGACATCATTACAACTTCTATTTCCATTTGTTTTCTATTCCGCCTTTTTTAAATGTCCATTTTGTCAGTGTTTTATAATGTATGTAATATCACAGAGTAACATTCATGTATATAATTTACAAATAAATATACAAATCAAGGAGTTCTCACAATTTTTTTAAATATTGGGAATTTTTGGTCTAGTGACCATTTATTTTTCATGGTTTATTTATCTATTAAACATTTAATTTTTTAAAGCTAAAGCCTTCGACTTTGATCACAGCTCTAGTCTTTTTTTAAGATCTATTTATTTGAAAGGTAGAGTTATAGAAAAGCAGAGCCAGAGAAAGTCTTCCACCCGCTGGTTCACTCCCCAGATGGCTGTAATGGCCAGAGCTGCGCAGATTCGAAGGCAGGAGCTTCTTCTGGGTCTCCCATGTGGGTGCACTTGGGCCACCTTCTATTGGTTTCCAAAGCTTTAGCAGAGACCTGGATCGGAAATGGGGCAGCCGGGACTCGAACCGGCTGGGATCTGGGTGGTGACTTTACCCACTACACCACAGCGCTGGCCCCTTCATGGTTTAGATAAACACTGTCCTATAGCAATATGAGTGGGGTCGGCGCTGCGGCATAGTGGGCTAATTCTCCACCTGTGGCGCCAGTACAGGTGCTGATTCTAGTCCTGGCTGCTCCTCTTCCAATTCAGCTCTCTGCTAAGGCCTGGGAAAGCAGTGGAAGATAGCCCAAATCCTTGGGCCCCTACAACCGCTTGGGAGACCCAGAAGAAGCTCCTGGCTCCTGGCTTCAGATCGGCGCAGCTCCAGCTGTTGCGGCCATCTGGGGCGGGAGTGAATCAGCAAATGGTAGATTCTCTCTCTCTGTCTCTCCCTGTCTCTGTAACTCTACCTCTCAAATGAAAAAAAAAAAAAAAAAAAGGAGAGCCACATATGGAATTTTTTATTTTTTGTTTACTAGAGAGGAGAGAGAGAATACTCCCATCCACAGTTTTACTCCCTAAATGCCCCAAAACCCAGGACTGGACCAGACCAAAGCCAGAGGCCAGGAACCCAATCCAGGCCTCCCATACAAATAGCAGGATCCCAATTATTTGAGCCATCACCGCTGCTTCACTATCCCATCAGGGCTTCCTGTAAGGTCTGCGCT